CCCGTGTTGTCATTCAGTGCAATTCCTAAAGAGTTCCCTCTCAGTCCCGCCAGATGTGGTGTGGTGTGATTATCTCAAATTCTGGAGAGACTGGTTTCCTAGGCTGATCCACTCCACAGCCTCCTGAAACCAAGACTCGCCCTCTGCCAATATGAACAGTCAGTTACTAACCTCGACCACATTGCTCGTTTGTATATGCACGCTGATTAAATTATATGCAGATTAAAAGCTGGTCAGGGTGCATCAGGGCAGCAGAGCCAGCTCAGAAGGCATGTGTTAGCAAGCGCTTGGCTCACGGGCAGCCCTCTCTGCCAGGTACCCGGGCTGTGGTTTTTCCCCTGCAGCAGCGTTTGGAAGACTGCCTCAGCACTTCCCAAGCAGGGATTCTCTGCACCGATGGCTCCACGGCAGTTTTTCTGGTTTCCCAGCAGCTCATGCCTGGTCCTGCACGCGGTGCAAACGGCTGCAGACTGGCCGCGTGACAAGACGCAACTCGGGTTCTCTCCAGCCACGGAGAGGCGGCTGAAGAGCTGCGCCGGTCGGAGCGGACGGGCTGCACAGCCAGCGGTTAAGGGATGTTCCCAAACGCCAGGGATGGCGGAGAGCCAACGGGATTTAACCAGGGCTGCGCCGGCTGAGCAACGGAGCGCCGCTTGGGCATCTTCATCTTGCGATGAAGAGCAAGATGCAAAAGGGAGGCAAACAAGCAAGTCCGGCGACTTCCGTGCGGAGTTCAAAAGTTGCCAGAGACGCAGAGGAGTCTGCGTGCAATCTGAAAAGTATTCCCTTTATAACCATAAGTGCAAACCACGAGGACCGCCTGCCTGGAGGGAAACTGGCACGTAAGGACACACTGGGGTGGAATTTAGCTATCACGAAGCAAGAAAAATGGCGCAGCAGCTTCCAAAACTTTGAAGGAGTTCTGGAGGGCTGGCGTTTCTCCAGCCACGGGTCCTGAGTTCTAAAGGGGCTCCGATCCAAAGGACTCTGCAACGCAAGGCCTTCCTGCCACTTTCTAGAGGACAGCAAGAGCCACCGATGCAGAATTCCTCTGGCAGCGCATTAACACACGCATCCTTCTTCAGTCAACGTTACGGCGGGTTTGAACACGTCTCGCCCGAGACTGCCCCAAAAGGCAAGCGAAATTATTTTTGCTAAAGAACGCGAGTCGCGAGGCTCTCGGCTGCCCGCGTGCAACCCCCCCCCCCCCTCCCACAGCCGCCCTGTCCCTTTTTTGGAGGCCGGCGCGCGG